TTTATAGATTCACACGGTCTTTTCTACAAAACTAAGACCCCGTTGATTTCGCATTTATTTGCGCTGAGGAACGCTTTGGCTCGGATAAGCTTTATGAGCCATCAAACGCTTTATGGCTTATAAAGCTTAACGTTAAGCCTTGGCTACTCACCAAAACTACTTTGTCTTCTTCTGTAATCTTTGGTTTCTTCTTGCTATGTATAGATCCCATATTGTTCCAGTAAAGATAATTTCCTATCTCGTTCAGACTTCGATTTAAGCCGTGTTGGGTCGATTTTACCAACTAGGAGAATTAAAAAATTTTGAATGTTTTCGTTTCTCAACAGCAAATTAAATAAAGGGTTAGGGCACTCTAACGCCCACATTTTGTTCATGGGGGAGTAAGTCGATTTTGCAAAATAGTAACTCTTCTTAAATTACTACTTTGCGAAAAGAAGAAAAATTCTTCTTGTGAATTTACGATTCCTCCAAAATTTTTTGTGAAATATTACAAAATATGTCTGCGTTATTCCTTTAGTTTAGTTATATCTCGCCTCGTTTCGTCTCGTTTCGTTTCGCAAAATAGTATAAGTTCGAGAACGAAACATCTATTTTTGGTGTTCAAGATGGCGTGCCGGGAGTAAAGCTGAAAGGTGAGTTGGTTTTTCCTTTTCGGAGACTTTTTATGGTAGAATGAAATGGTATGAACGCCAGACCACAGGGCCGTGGTGGGCAAACAAGCAGAGATCGTTCTCAGCGAAATAGAGGCCACTCTGCAAACTCAGTTAGTACCACGACAAGCACTCAAATTTAAAGAGATCGAGAGAGATAACATTACCGAATGGGCGAAACTCCAGACGACGTCCTGAAAAGAAGATGAGCGAAGCAGACGTAGAAATTAGGAAGGTAGAAGAGATGTACATGTACCTGATAGAGTAGGAAGCAAAGCCACTGATAAGGATGAAGAAAAGCCACGCTCAAAGTCTGAGGCCGAGATCTTCCAAGGGAGTTAAATCAATATAGCTTTGGTTCTAAAGGTTCCTCAAACAATAAGGAACGAGTTTCTGAGGGTGTCTACAGAAATTTGCATATACGGGAGAGCGAAGCAGGTTGGCACAACGTAGAACTTCAAGAAAATTTTACAGAAACGTCATGTAAAGCAAAAAATGATGTATCACTCAAAAAGTTTTTACTTAAATTTGCTTATGTTCGTCGGTGCGATGCAGAAATTTTTTACTTTACATTACGTTTTAGCTTACATCAATGTAAGGCGAGAAAATAGCATTTTTCGACTTCTCATCCTTTATTAAGATTTTGTTCGTATTCGCGTGACAACAGCCTTTTGCAGTTCCTTGTAACCGCGCATAAAGTATACAAGGCTGGAACTGAGTCGTGGCCCCTGACTCTCTGTGAGCGATTTTGGTGAAATTCGCTCGTGGTCAGTAAAATTGTTCGATTTTTATGGAAAATGGATGGTCCTAGCTGAAATCTCGATAATGCTAATTTTTCTTCTAAAAAGAAAGGAAAGCAGTGTGCCGCTTTTGGTTGTTCAATTACATTTATGAGCCCATCGGTTTCCCAACGAGCTTTCACTTCAAGTTTTTGCACGTAGGCATGTATTTTTGGTCAGTATTTATCGTTCTGTACTTATTTTATTCTCTATCAATTATGAATGAGGGTAAATATTGTTGCAAAATTAGTAAAAATTATCTATTAGATACCTGAATAGTTTTAAGTTCAATAATGTTTTTTTATTCTGGCAGTTAAGTCAATAAGTTCAGTACTCAGACATGGTTTGATGCTACTCTGGTTTACAGATTTAATGAATCTAACCGAAGAAGTTACAATTCATAAATGCTCATCTGTTTACTTCATGGCTTGCTAATGTTATGCATCGTGCGGAGGAGACAAGATGTTCATGATGAATACTCTATTTTATTGCTTAAGAAACCAGAGCCGAGTTCTTCCGGGAACTCGGAATTATGCAAGAATCAAATGCGAGTAAGGAAATAACAGGAAGGTGATATAACGTGACACTAAAACCATTGTTAGCAGAGAAACTATTGGAAAGAAATTGCTCTCAAGAAAATAAACAAGACACTGTATCTTCAGAGTTGTCACTTATTATGGCAGACCCAGAAAACTGACACAAATTGGGTAGCAATTATGACAAAAGAAGTTTTCCGTTGTTGTTTCTTTTTATGACAGCATAATAACCCACTAAGGATGCCAGGTGGGACTCTAAAAAAATATTTTGTGTGCTTTATGTATCAATCAATTTGATGCTTCAAATTGAATAAAAAGACAAAATCAGTTTCACCAACAAAAAGAGATCTCAACACAAAGATGATCTACAGCACTAAACTCTATTATTCACAAAATTGTCCTCATAAAAACTAGTTTGATAGATATTTCTCAAAAAATAATTTCTCATACAATGTGATGGTCTGAAAGATTCTCTTTCAAACAAATTTTGTGGTAACTGTATCAGTAGAAAATAAATATCTTGATTGGGATATATTTCTGAATATTCTTTTAAGTATCTTCTTTACAAATAGAAACATACATCTCAGAATTATATTTATTTATCATAACATTGGTTAACATAATGCAACAAGAACTACCATAGCAAACCTTTGTGTCAGAAGGACTCTGACTACTGTGAATGGGAATATCAATTCATTGAATGATAATCACTTATAGAAACTTGAATGTTTTAAAAGGACTAGCATTGTTGAGATCAGTAGCTGAGAGGAACATTTTCTTTAAATACACAAGATCTGATTGTTAAGTCTCTCTCCAAGCTGCTACACATTTGCTTGTAAATAAGTTATGAGAATTTGATGTAAGATCAAGATAACTTTAACCTGGTAAGTTTCAGTATTCTCATTACCTGTTTGCAGGATAGTGTTTGGATATTATAGGAAGAAGTTACATGAATCAATCACTTCTGGTAGTTTCTAAATTGTCTAATGTTTTGGTCTGATTCTTTCATTGCAGTCTTACCACCAAACAAATTACCACGAGACACAAACTGAAATAGTTTTTAATGTATCACAAGCATAATTTGTCCTGGGCATCAAAATAATATGACATCTGTTTGTTACCAATAGTAACCTCATGGGTTGATAGAAAAAAGGGTTATGATCAAGTGGTTCTACAGGCTCTATTGCATAGTTTCCTGTAAGATACAATGTACAAATTGGTTAACAAAATGGGAACAACTTTAACAGAAAAATATGGTACAACAACAAGTACCATATCAACAACAGCAGCAATAACAAATCTCCTTGTCATAGAGGGCTCATTAAAAGCCTTTGCCTCACTTTCTAAACCATACTGAACAACTTCTGTGGTACTTCCTGTGGATCGATCTGTCTATTATCCAATTTAGATTTGATGTTGTGGAAGAGAAAGAAGGAACTTGAGGGCAAACAGTTTTGGAGGTTCTCACAGAGATTTTGAAGCTAGTCACGTCACAGGTTCTCATGTCAGGGGCCCTAGGATCAAACTTTATTATTTTTGGCTGGGTTCTTATGTCCTTCTTACTGAATCAAATCTTTCTGATCAATACTTTGTTGATTGGCTTTGCTGCCACACTTTGGTTGCATGGTACCACCCACACTGAGAGCTGTGATGTACATATTAATGGCTCTGGGTTATTTTAGAACCTTCTTCATATAAAATGGCTCTGTTTCCAAGATGTGATTGGAGCTCTGATTCATTTTGTTTATTTCTGCTTCTAAAAGTCTGTTAACCCTTTAACTCCCAGAAGTGATTAACAAGTGACTTCCCCCTTAAAATATCCATATATAATCCAGCAAACACATAATGAGAATAATCAAACTTATCAGGTTTACATTGTTATCTCGATCTAACACAGAATTCTCATGACTAATCTACAAGGAAATGTGTAAAAGTTAGAGGGGAGAATTAACTTTCAGATCTTGGGAGTTAAAGGGTTAAGGTAATGACTGATAAAGTTTTGAAATGAAATAGCAAGTTTGGCTCTCAATTGAAAAGCAAGTGAAGATGCTTTTTGAAAAATGCATGCTTTTCAAGTGCGGTTCATGTGCCTTGCATGTGCTTATGGACATTGTTATGTGAAAATATTGTGAACGCCATCTGAAGACTTCACTTAGATTTGGCTATCACAAGCACTTTAGAACATGCAGATATGCAACTAGATATTTGTAAATTAAACTTCTCTATTTTATAAACAAACACAAATTTTACTATTTTTATCTATTTTATACCCTTTATGGGGAAACAAGAAATAACAAGAACAACAAAAAAATTATTTTAAGATCAGGTGTAAGGCAGAGAAAGTCCTAAAAATATGGTGGATTTGTAAACAGGATGAGCAATAATGAAGATGCAATAAAGTATTAATTGGCTTAATTTGTAAAGATACAATTTGACTTGCATTCTTCTGTGGATTAAAAAATGAGATCATTTACCTCTTGAAAACTAAAGGTTGAAGCATTTAAAGCTTGTACTCTTAATTTTTTAGCCAAGGAACTATTAATATTTAATTTAATAAAAAGGGAATTGAAACCTCCTTGTTGTTAATTAGTTCTTGAATGCATCATTTGATAAAGCTCTCTCAATCTGTTCACTCCTGTTAGGTTTAGAGCCAAAAAAAAATAGAAAACAAAACATTTGACCATATTCATGTGGGTTCATATGATTTCTTTCTGATATCTAAATTTTTTCTGAACATGCGTGAAAGATTAGTGCTTTGACTACTACTTTATGCAGAGCATGCAAGATTTTATTAGCTCAGGTTAAATACCTTGGACAGATAGTAAGCTGAATGGGATGTTCAGTTATTGTTCAGTTCTTTGAATGCTAATGAATGAATGCATCCTATTAGGGATGATGGGATTAACGTAGAGACAACCATCATGGCCATGCATAAATGAGCTTTCTCATGTTTATTACAATTGGTTATTTTATATCAGCCACCCTGTGCTATAACTGAGAGAGAATTTTACAATAAGCTTAAAGCACTGGCCATGGGTAACATGAATTAATTTGATCATCATGATAGAAACACTCCAGCTATGTCTATAATGCTGGGACCACTTCTGCTTTTCTTTCATCTTTCTTTTCCTTCTGTGGTCTTTTCTCAACTGTTAGAAAAAAAAAGAATAATAAACATACATTGAGAGATGGCCAACAACCTTTCCTGCAACAAATTTCACAACAATGTGTGGTTCCAGAAAATACCCATACCTGCCCTCAGAAGGGTACTAGTAACTGAATATTCCAAGGTGAAGGGAGGTCTAACTTGAAACACAATTTTAAAAGGATAGTATGATACAAAGCTGCAGTTTAAATCAAGAAAATCTACTATTGGATGGGTATGGATATTTTTTGGGACAACAAAAAAAGGATTAAAGAACCTGACAGTGCATAAATGTACAAGACAGCTCATACATACCAGGTTCTTCTGAGGGAACTTCTGGTAATGGTTCTTCTGTTGGTACTTCTGGAAGCTTCTCTGTCACAGACTAACCACCAATGAAAGGAAAAGGGTATTTAAAACAAATCTTTCACACCTTCCCACCTTATTAACCCTTAAAACCCAAAGACTGACAAGCATCTAATTTCTCCCTACAATATCACTCCTGAATTGTACATTAAGATCATGAAAAAAAAAGACAATCACCAGGGAAGGAACCTTTTGATTGGCAAACAAATTCTCCTTATCAGCACCTTAGAAATGTATGAAGAACAGTATGGAGAATATGCATACTGGTGTTAGGGTGATAAGGGTTAAATCAAAAGTGCCCTTGCTTTGAACAAACCTGGTTCCCAGGATCTCTCTTCTTCCCTTTCTTTTGCTATAAAGGAAGGGAAGAAGAGAGATCCTGGGAAGGAGGTTGGCTTTGTACCCCTTGTATCATCAGTGCATCCCCATTCCCACTCTGCTGCTCATAATCAAGGACCCTAGTGTGAAAATAAGGTCAGCAGAAGGTACAAAGTACAAACCTTTGTCATCTCCTCTAATTCTTGTAACACAGCATCTTCATCTTCCTGAGTCAAACTTCCACTTAAAAGTTCGTCAATCTCCTGTGGAAAGAAAATCAAAGTTTTTGTTAACATTTGGTTAAAAACTGCAGAAATCAAAGCTTTTCAATTGATATCACTCACCCTCTGATACTCAATTCCTTCCCTGGTTTCATCCATTATTCTTTCTACATCTTCAATGGACATTATCTGAGACAAAAAGTACAATTCACTTCCTTTGACCAGAAAAAAAATTGATCAGAAAAAAAATTGACATGACATTCTACTTGCAAATTTTGATTTGTTAATATTAGTTAATATTAGTTATTGAATTTTCAACTCCAGTGATCAGCTCATGTTCCGAGTCACCTCATTTGGAGTCATTGAATCAATGTAAAGGCCAAAGAAAAGAGTACTTTTTAATTTTACATAGTTACCTCATGCATTTTCTTCAGAGCTTCATTTCCTTGCTTCAGTCCATCAGCTACTTGAAGTTGAATTTGAGCAAACTCAACATCTTGTACCTGTTATACAATGATAACTCTTTGTCTCTTACTTGAATCTTTTACTTTATGATGGGTCAAGTACCCAGAGGGAGAAAAGTATTTTTGTAACCCCTTTGATTAGGGGTCAAAGGAGGTAAGACAGTGCTGCACACCTTTGGAATTTGATGAATGTGCAACAAACCGGGGGGGATACATCCTAGTAATAGCCTAGTGGGGATGCGCCACTGGATGAGATCACATTTCCTTGACTGGATTCATTGGAGTTACTAGTCTAAGAATGGGGTTGCAAACTTTCAGGATTTTGGGGAAAATAAAATTCTGGTTCGTAAGGTATTAAAGATGGAAAGATTTGCAGTTAAGAAGTTGTTACCAAGGTACTAAAAGTGACTAAGATAGGGTCTATAATTGGCAAAAGAATATACTATATTGGGGTAGGGGGATCCTTTGAGGCCAGCCACACTTAACCAGCAAAAATTGCCTCCCCCCCTTTAGTTGCAGGGTTTTTATCTAACTACAATAAAAGCTTTAGACATAAGTTTAAGTCCATCTCCGTCTCAAGTCATAAATTGAGATCACAACAGATCAAATCATATTATACTGGTAAGCTCCTATGAGTTTGATGAAGTGCATGAATATAATTTATACGTCTGTTAACAAACCATTTTTTCTAAGTTCTCCAGCTGGTTGTCTGTCCTCTCCAATGTCTGTTCCTGGTATCTCTTTTTCTTAAGCAGAAGCTTTGCTTTACTGCACAATAAAAAAGAAAAAATTTAACTTTCCTTAATTATCAACTCTGATTTTTTCTTATTTTCCTCCTTGACCTGGATCTGGTTTACCACCTACACATCTTGTTTGATGTTACATGTTGGTAAGAGGTTATATTCTTTTGGTAGGAAATCTAACCTTATATAAGCCTCATGGCTTCATTTAGGTTCCCTCACTATACAAATTGTCATATTTAACTTAACCCATTGTGCCTCCTTGAGACTTTTTAATGTTGCATAGCAAATAAAAAAACCTTATTGTTCAAAGAACTGAATATTTAAATATCATAAACTTATGCAAACTGTTCATACTGTAGATAATTTTATTAATAAGATGATTGGCCACCACAAAGAGTTTCTGAAGCTGACATTTTGCATGTTAGCCCATCACCAGAGCAAAAGGACTAACAAAATGGGCTAACAAAAGGGCTTTTGCTCTGAAAAGGGCTATAAGCTTTATAAACTCTTCGTGATAGCCAACTAACATAATTTATCAACTCAGTTCACAGAACTATATTATCTGGTTGGTCTCAAAACCTCTAGGTCCTTCACTTTAAAACATTGTCAAAACTTACTTTTTCTTTCCTTCCTGCAACAACTTTTTTGCCAATTGTCTTTCTTTTTCAAGATTGAGTTGTATCTATTTTACAGTAAAATTTGTTAGGAATAGAGCTGAAATGATAAAAAAGCTCTCAGACGCTGATAAGACAACTACATTTGGGTTGTATTTGAACACTCTGTATAAAGAACTCTTCAGATCAATTTTTGAAGCATGCAGTTTGAAGAGCCTGGCTCAATTATTAAGCATGGTAAACCTGAGCCAAAGTTATCACTGACAGTAGGTAATAAAAATGAAACAAAATGTAACAAAGAGCCCAAGAAAACTTATACAATATGCTACCAGCCTCAAGCGTCATTAACCAGGTTGTGGTTACAAGTGTAAAAAGGTCTGAAGGGTGTTTTAAACCCTTTAACTCCCAGTAGTGATTAACAGGTGACTTCCCCCTATATTTATCCAATCATTATCCTGCTAATGAGAATACTCAAACTTATCAGGTAGAAGCTAGCTTTGTTATCTTGATCTAATACCAAATTCTTGAAAATAAAATACAAGGAAATGTGTGGCAGCTAGAGAGGAGAATTAATGACTAAATTTTGGGAGTTCAAGGGTTAAAGGATGAAGCTAGCTATGGTTCTCAAGACAGATCAGAAACTCAAAGTGAAACAACACAAAATCAATTTGGAGTAATATTTGACACACACTGTTGATGAAAATTCCTGTGGTTTCAATAAAATTTGAAGTACGCAGCAAAAAATGCAATATAGGTGGTTCATAGAAACTCAAGTTTTACTCTAAAATTATTAGAACCCCAGAATATGTGATCTAAGAACTGATTTGAGACTAGTGCTTTATCAAAGACATTTTGAACCTGAATAAATAATTCCTTTCTACCTTTTTCTGGTATTGTTTTAACTTGTCCCTCTGCTGCTTCAATGCCTAAATGAAATGACAAGAATAACATTAATAATAATAATTATAATAATAATAATAACAAATAACAAACAATTATTGGATTAGGTTTTTGTGATATCCAGAATAATTAAGATCAAGGTGAGGGTTATCAGCAAAAGCTGAAGGCTGAGGTTGATAACCCTTACCAATTTGATCTACACTGATAATGATAATATGATAATTTGATTTGTAATGATGATATGTTCCCTTCTCAATAATGATATAATAGCTTGACAATAATATCTAAAACTATGCATGAGCTACAGTACATATAAAAAGTAATTAACTGAGACAGATCTCAATTTGATTTACACTGTCCAAAAATGGACTCTTTAACATTACTTCTCCATGAAACAGAAGGGCTTGATGGCTTAAAAAGCTTAACGTTAAGCCTTGGCGACTCACCAAAACTGCTTTGTCTTGTTCTGTAATCTTTGGTTTTTCAGGCCCAGGCTCTTTCTTCTTGCTAAATAGAGATCCCATGTTGTTCCAGTAAAGATAATTTCCTATCTCGTTCAGACTTCGATTTAAGCCGTATTAGGTCGATTTAGCCACAAGAGAACTAACACATTTTGAATGTTTTCGTTCCTAAACAGGAAGTGAAGGGTTAGTAAACCACCGCCATCTTGGTTTTTCTGGGAAACAGCTGAAGGAACATGAAAACGAGGCACTTTTTCGGTATTCAAAATGGCGCTCGGCGCTGTGTAAGGCTCACGCGTGAATTTGTTGTTTTTTGTGGAGACTTTTTATGGCAGAATGAAATGGTATGAGCGCCAGACCACAGGGCCGTGGTAGGCAAACACGCAGAGATCGTTCTCAGCGAAACAGAGGCCGAGACCACTCTGCAGACTCAGTTAGTAGCACGACAAGTACTCAAAGTGAAAGAGAAAGAGATCGAGAGAGAGAACAACGGAATGGGCGGAACTCCAGACGACGTCCTGAAAAGAAAGATGAGCGAGGTAGACGTAGAAATGAGGAAGGTAGAAGAGATGTACATGTACCTGATAGAGAAGGCAGCAAAGCCACTGATAAGGATAAAGGAAAGCCACGCTCAGAGTCTGAGAAACTACCTCCTCGCGGAAGAGGTGAACCCAACCGAGATCCTTCAAGGGAGTTAAATCGAGACAGTTTTGGTTCTAAAGGTTCCACTAATGGTTAGTGCAACGATTTAACATATTTCTACCACCTTTCTTGAATATTTGGCGTATCACAAAGATTTTGTGCAGATAATTTGCATACTCGCGAGAGACAATTACAAATTCTCGTTGTAATCAGTTCCGTTGTCTGAATTTGAAAGCCGCATTTGTAAATGATACACTATTTTTGGAAAATCACTTGCAATCGTAGTTGTTTTGCTGACGCGATATTTTAAAGTACCATCTGCTTAACTTTTGATTAGTTCTTTAGACCGATAAATTTTTTATATTCATCAAAAGGAAATTGGTGATTGCGCTAATTTCGGCTTCCGGCTTTACTTGTTTATGACACCTCTTTCCTTCCTAATTGGTTTTTATATCGTGACGGTGGTACATAGTCTAAATTCTCTTTTAAAATACTCTTTCCTATCGATGTTTATTGGTTTGACAAGCTTATTTGATATTATTCATTTTATTAATTGCTTGTTTCTTTTTTCTTGTTTGTAATTTGTTATTTTAAACAGGTTTGCAATTTTTTTGTTTACCTTTTGTCAATTTGCTGACTTACAAAAATCGTTTGAGTAGATACCAAATAGATTATCCATATGTTCTCAAGGAAATGGGGAAGTTAACTAAAACATTTCTAAAATTGCTCCCCCAGTCACTGTACCAGAGCAAATCTCCTGAAGAAGAAAGCATAGAGACAAACAAACCAACTGCATCAGCATTTTTATGGTCTCTAGAACATAGATGTATGCGAGATGAACCTTCCCCCCACTCCCTTAACTCTGATTAGCTTAAAATTTCTCTAAATCATTGACAATGCAAGAGACCATTGATGCAGGGATTGTAAATTCCTAGCAACAACAAGTAGGAAAGAACAAAAAACCAAGGAACATCATGGTTGTAAAGAGCTGGTGCAAGTATTGGGTAATGTCTCAGACACTTGCACTATGACAAGTTTTAGGACTGTTTTTGTGTTGTGTTGTGTTCTTAGGCATGCCACCTTACTTATTCTCACTGTACTTGTCTTAATGCAATAGTAGAAATTAATGCACATGATTAAACTATCATGGGAACTTGGCCAAATTCTGGGGGGTGACTTGTAGGGGACCACCATCCCATTCAAGGGAGGATCAGGAGTTCTTGCAGTAATTTCATACTCTGGGAACTGAGGTAATCTTGAACTGCAAGGGCTGCAAGGCTTGTGGGAAGACTTATTGTGTACTGAAGGTATGGTTGTTTTACTTTCAGAGCAAATTAATATGTTTGGCGATGATTCTCGTTTGTCGCATCTTGTTAAGAGGATTACCAAAGAGTCTGAGCGAGACAGGCGTTTGACTGCAGCTCAACAATTTGAGGAATTCCTTAATGCTCCTGAGAATTCTCAGGTACTGCAAGATATACATATATAATGATTAAAATTGCTAGGGCTTTATTAGTATTGACTGAACACCTTCATTTGAAAACAAAAATTTCAAAGTTCAAATGATTCCTTAAACTTGTCAAAAAAGGGTTTCCTCTTTTTTAGCTTGTGAGATTGTATTGTTTTTGTTGTTGATCACCATGGATTTTTCATCTGAAGGTACCTTTTATTTCCAGGTGGTAGACAAGCATGCAGAGAATCTATTTGTAGTTGTAGAAGATATACTCTTTGAAAGGTAACTAAACTCTTCTTCAGGAGGCAGACATGTCATGATAACCTTGTGGGCCTAATTTTCTTGCCTCATGCAGAAAGAGAACAAAAAAAATGTTGCATTTAGAAATGTTCATGCTTTAAGATGTATGGACTAAAAAGGGATTAACTGATAAATTTGTTTCTTACATAGCATTGTACTTTCAGTGGGCCAAGATTTGGATTTCTTGGATGCAAACACTGTCTGCTGCTGTGCCAATGCATCAAATTTGTTAAAATATTTAGTGAACTAGAGGATAGTTTGTTTAGATTATTTTAACCACTTTTTGCTTCAAGTGAAGTCTTCAGTGAAAATGTTTACAATAAGTTACTTTTGGTAAATATTTTTATTTTCAAAATAATTTCAGGGGACAACCTGAGCTGAAGGAAAAAATAGCAACATGTGGTGGTATAATTGGTGGAATTTTAGGCATTGAAGCTGGAAGGTAACTGTTTCATTGAATTCAAGCCAGACACATTTAAATCTGGCAAGCATACTTACATCTCAGTGCTCTTTATTTTTATGGCTTAATTGGCAATAGAATGGGAATTGAAAGGAAAAGTCAAAAGCCTTTATAAACCAAATTTCTTTATCAAACAGTTACCTCCCTTGAAAACTCTTGGTGCTATTATGATAAGTGTAGTTAATTTATTAATATTTTTATTTCAAAGATTTTTTCAGTGGATATTTGCCAAGCTTGAGTCATCTGCATCAGATGAAGTAAAGATCTTTCTGCTAACAGCACTCTACAAGGTAGTTTTACATTTTATTGGGTCTCAATTGTTATTATCTGGTTTCTACTATGCATTATGTTTCTATTATGTGGTTATCTATTTTGGACACTTGATTAAATATTTGGTCCATCTACTGACAATGTCACATCTTCACACCTTTCTCTCTTAGTGATAGAAATGAATCTTTTTTATACAATAATTTTTTTTTTGGTGTTTTACTTCACATTTGCGTTCAGTAAAAGTGAAAAAATCATTGCATGAATAAAAAAGAACTTGGCCTGATAGGAATTGCATTGTGAACTGTGAAATCTCCCACTGATTGTGTCAGTAGTCACCATTTCCACAACTTCTATCCTTCCTTTTATTGACTTTAAAGAGGAGACAGTATAGGTTTTTAAATGGAATTTGGCTTGGATGGTCTTTTGAAACTGGGTTGGTTTGTATTTTACTTTGTTTAATAATTTTGATAACTGAATAAATAATTTAATTGATCTTTGTATCATTTTTTTCCAAAAGGCAATCCAAGTAGACACTAAGAACAAATACTTCAGGGATTTTATGACGGTAAGAAGCAGTAGTCAATTACCCTCTCTTGACTTCTCCTTCTGATAAAAAAGGACCTTTGTTTCTAACAACAAAATTCTTTATTATTTGCAGAATGTCATGAGCAGCTTGCAAAATATCTTGGAAAATGTAGACACTTCAGGTATTAGGGAAAACTTATTTAGAATTATTATATAATTGGGTATTGGTAAATGATAAGAGAGATTAAATTGTAAATGCTTAAATGCTTTCATTATATGCTTGGATGTATTGTAAACAATGTAAATGTGATGTTGTTGATTGACAGACTTACTACGTGCAGCCCTGAATGTGATGATGCCGATTGCCATAGACTATCCACATGCTTTTGCTGGTCATTTCAGGGTAAGCTCTATTTGATAAGTTTGGAAGGATAATCTGTGAATTGTTATGATTGTAACTACTTAACTACTCCATTCTTATCAAACGGATATATTTAACCCATTTTTTTCTGGCTCAGGCACAAATATACTGAACATGGACAATTATACCACTCTAATTGAAAAAAGAAAACTTCTCTCTCAATATGTTTTTGGTTTTCCATTTGGGTTTTTAGGATACCGTTGACATCCTTGTTGGATGGCATATTGACACTTCTCAGCAGGCATCTCTTACCAGCTACACTTCAGGTTTGGTGGCAGTTGTGTATTTTTCTGGTATTAATGACATTTAGCAAGGATTTAAGTCTAGCATTTTTATCCAAGTTGCTGAGACACCTTAGCTTGGCTCTTTTTATTTTTGTCTCAGCAACTTCACATATAAGTTAGGAAAAGATTTTGAACTTTTACAGACAATAGTCAAACCATAATATGATTATTTATTTTAATTGTGATAGACGCATAACTAAAATCAGACATGTTTTATTTCTGTGCTGTTGTTATGTATATTTTCTTGAAATGTTTTTTGTTTTTTGCTGAGTCAGAGTTCTTGACTGTACATCACCATTAAACAGTAAATTTTGCTACAGTTCATTATAGATGTAACAAATAACCTTTTTTTTAACTATCCTAAAAAAATTTGTATTTCTTCATCGTCCCTCCTCCAACTGTCCATTGCAGTTCATGCTCCTATCTCTAATGACTGACTGATTTTCTATATCGCAGAATGTCTGGTAAAGCTGCATGACTACTGGGCATCAGATATGGCCTTTTCGCTAACACTGCTCAGTCAGTTTTTGGAAGATATGGAAGCTTATGCAGAAGTAAGGAAGAAAAAATGACTAGTTTATTTAAAGGTTTTCATCATGCAGTTTTTCATATAGTCATTTTTGATTGAATTTTGTTTTTGAAATAGTAAGTGATGGATGCAACTTATGGTAATAATTCTCCTTTAAAAATGGCATAGCAAGTACTCAGCCATTTTTAGGCTTTGGTTTGGTATCATTGTAGAATTTAGAACTACTGAACTCTGTTTTGAGATATCACTTACATCAGATTGCTGGTGAAAAAATCCCATAGGTGCAGCACTTGAAGGTTTACCATTGTTCTTTATTCAAAGACAGAGGTT